ATCCCAAAAAAAGTTTTGGAGCACTTTAGTGTTTAAGTTTTACAATGCTTCATCAATTCAACAACAACACTCATTCAAATATGAAGTTTAATTCAAGTCGTTTTTCCACCGTTTACCTAACTGATAGCAACGGATAAAACTAAATGTTGTAAATGAACAACCTGTTTACCGACTCGGGCCAAACCGAGGATGTCAGATTTCATGGTTATTATTGGACCGGGAATTGAAGTCACATCGCGTTTGATACGAAAAATTTCGGCATTTCTATCACTCACAAATATCCGATAATCCACATCATATAGTCCTGGAATAGGTTAGAACTAATAATTCATGAATACTCGTTTAACGAACCAAACGGCACAGCTGACTTTTTGTTCATACTTTCCACATGGAATATTAATGTTAGCTATTAGAAACAGAAGCCCTCACAATGCTAATTTGCTGTTTCTCATTACTGAGAAGCACGAAGCATGTGTCGTCTTTTGACCTATTTCAACATCATTTTTAGGTAAGACAAAACAAACAAAGGTCGATAATGAAATTTTTTTATTGACCTTCTGGGCCCAGGATTTTCTCCGGATATTTGTTGGCTACTAATATTGGTGCATTTGTTGGTTACTATTATGTGCTTGTAATGAGCCTGCTGTTCCAGAAAAACTTGTACAGCAGCATTCAGCTAGTGCCATGAAATATTTTTACGTAGATGATAAGCGAACAAAAGCGGATTTTAGGAAATAAGCCCGCTCAGGTGCTAGGTCTGGAGTGAAATATGATCCGCTGTTCCACAGTTATTAAAAATCCAGCTTGATGGCTTGAGCGCTCTTCTTTTAAAGGCTTTTAGAATACTTAATCGTGAACAATATTTATATTCAAAATAGTCTTATTTCTTAGATACCTAACGTAGTTTGCGAATACGTATCTTGTACCTGATGCATACAAAAATACCGGAACGCCCGGAACCTTCCATTGAGTTAGCACAGTGAATGTCTGACTGTCGATACAGTACACATATCCGAATTCGGTTGC